TGGTATAGGAGTTGTTGCATCGGGATTGCTGATAGACCACGAGCTGAGAAATGTCTACTCCAATGAGAAGGGAGGGAAGCTGACCCCCCCCCTCCCCGATGGATTTCATTAAAGGGAAGTTTTGGGAGAAGGAGAGAGAGTTTTGTGACGAGTCGACCAGAAGTGGAGTTTCCGCCTGTTTATCAAAGTGAACTTTTTGTGGTTTTGTGTATCACGCCTTGTGTCAATTAAGGTCTACCGCAGACCAGGCAATTAGATTCGACGTAGACTCGAGTACTCTGAAAGATTTGGTTGCACGTTGGAGTGAACTGTACTTGTAATTTAATCGTTCACTTGTGATGTGATCAAATTTATATTTTTAATTTTAATTTCTTTGTATATTAACCCAAGTGGAAAAGTGAAAGTGCCCCTCTTCTTGAAGCCGTTATAGGTCTAATATAGGCCGAGACGTTAAAGTAGTGACAGCGCACATAGATGGGGTGTACTTAAGAGGGCGCACATTCGAATCCGCTGGTGGCGTGACTTGATGGTGGCTGGGATAGAATGAGTAAGAATGTCTCATCAACAGTCTGGTGGATTTTTTTCTCATGCGACTTGCAAATAGGACATTTATTTAAAAAAAAAAAAAAAATTATCGTGGAAAGCAGTATCGTTCTATCATCTCTCGTAAACGAACTGTTGCACTAATTGCATTAGTGAAAATTAGTGAATACGAGATTTTTAAATGAACATTAAAATAAAGACTTAATATGAGGTCCTCTAACATTGATGCGACACAATTTGTAGAAGATCGAATGTTACCTAGAGTACCTTACAAGATTACTTCTACATTTATCAGCCTCGCATATGTGGTATCTGTAAGAAATTTTCTCCATTAAATTTAGTTAAGGGAACCACATTTAGTCAAATTAAATATTTTGATTTAAAATTATTATTATTATTCGATTATTATTTATTATTATTCATTATTATTATTTATATTATTATTATTATTATTATTTAATTGAACATTTAGTCAAATTAAATATTAAATTAATTCCTACGGTTTTTTTTTTTTTTTTTTTTTTCGTCAAAAATGCTTTAACTAAAAATTAATTCATATATCAATCTTATTGTAATTACACTCCGCTTTTTATTTATTTATTTATTTTAGCATTTAACACACCGAGTTTGCTTATTCTTTACGCCAACTTTCATCACATTGTGCTACATGAATTAATATTGTAATGTAGTGTCTACACTACATTTTCACATCTCTCTGGCTAAAGACGAATTCCTTGTCGGAAGAACGACGCCTCTTTTGAGGCTATGTATATATCAAACCGATTTTTGAGTTTTTTCAAATGATTGGAAGTGCAGCTCAATCAGGCTATATGTCATCAATATAAATAAGTGGTTAACAGAAGGATCAGTGTCAGGAGAATAAGGCGGATGGAACATAACTACCCATCGCAGTGTTTCTAAATAGATTCGACTTCCTTCACAACATGTGGCCAAGCATTGTCATGTTAAAAAAATGACTTTGATGTGTCTATTTTAGCCATTTTTCTTTCAATGCTTGGCTCAAATGCATCAATTACAATCGACAATGTTTGAGCCTGATGGTCTGTAATCGCAATAATTTTTAATTATTATTTTGTTCAATTTTCAAAATCCTTAAATATTTCACCTTAATAGCAATATTTTAATTATACTTCATAATTACATAATTTTTAAATACTTAAATTCTAATTTTAACTTCAATTATTTTTAATTTTCTCATAATTATTTAAATTTAATACTCACTTAAGCCATTACTCCGTCACCCCAAATTCCCTCACTAGATGGCAACACGAGATAAACTTTTTTTTTTTTATTTCCAATGGCAGATTATGAACATTACAGCAATAAAAAGAACAACTGGAAATAAAAAAAAATAAAAAAAAAAAAAAAAAAAAAGAACAGAAAATACAACAAAACATGCTGAAACAGAGTTCATTAATTTAACATATCTCTAGCCTCCCAATATCGCTCGGCGAGAAAAGTCTTGCTCAGAGCAGGGCAGTGAAGTAGATGCGTGGAGTCCATGGCCTCTCCAGAGCTGCACAGAGTGCATATCGGGGAAGGAACAATTTTGAGTCTGTAAAGATGGTTTCGCAGGCAGTCATGTCCAGTGGCTAGTCGGAAATGAACGACTGCTCTACGCCTTGGACCATCCGTAGAGCACGAGATAAACTCAATGTTTTTATTTTACTACAACTGCGTAATTCTTCCAAAACTTCTATGTACATAAACAAACATTATGCTTCTGTAAATATTCAGATTTATGTAACCAAGACTGGAATATAAAATCCCCTGCGAGGGATTCCTACTGTTCCCATCTATACGTGGATGATTTTCTCTTTTGTAATTCCCCTTCTATAACTTTCCTTTTATTTTTAAATAAATACGAGGCCTTTCCGATACCCTGGCGTCAAGTCACGTAAGTATCCCCCCCCCCTCCATCTCAAATATTATTATAAAACCTTTTAAAACTAATTTGCATCCCCGCTAGTATCACTTACTTGCTCTCAAAGAGAGATGAAAGCCATTTCGGCCCAGGCACCCCTTTCCCATCCACCCTCGAATGGCTAAAGGCTCGTGCTCACCAAGGCGACAAGATGCAAGCGAAAAAATTTGACCAATCACTAGCCTCATCCCGGTCGCCTGAAACCGGTTTGCAGTTCGCCGCTTGGAGTTGCCCAACTTTCAACTCGAAGCGGTTTTTCACTAGGCGTAATGCTATTTCTGACGTTTCACTGTGAAGGGGCCGAAAAAATTTTGTCGCTTGCCTCTTAAATCTTTACGTCTCTCGCCTTGGTGGGAACGAGCCTTAACGCTCTGGCGGTTCGTACCACAGGTTTCGGGTTCAAATCCCGGCGGTGCCATGGATGTTTGTAGCGATTCGGAATCTACTTTAAGCCATAGGTCTTCGTCTCATACGATTGTAAAAACATCACGGAGCTCAATCAGACTTCTCATCCAAACGTCTTCTCACCCAAACTGTACTCTTAGGAGTAACTCAGCTATAAGCACAGTGATGTGGTGTAGTAGTAATAGTACTCCTTAACGTTGCTCGATTCGTGATCCTGTGTCAACATGCGCAGCTGGCATGCAGAAGAGCTGAGGTTTAAAACTGCTGGCGGCATGGTTGCAGTCACTGCTTTCAGAAACGATGAGACTCGATGGCAATTGTGACAATGTATCTCGCCTCGATAGACGGGCTGCCTGATGGGATATTTCCGGATTTTCTCTCATACGACAGTCAGTTACCCTTAAAAATCCTCCCGGAATGCACTGCCCTCACCTTTCTAATTGGAAGGTGTCTACATAGCCTAGGTACTGGGATGGGATGTGGAGAAAAGAAAAAAAGAATCGACAACATTCACTAGTATTAACCGTCTTTCAGCAGCTCATGTTTTTTTTTTTTTTGAAAGGCCAGGGCGCTTTGGGTCTTGTACTATACCAAAATCACAAGGGAAGTTGTCCATTGAAACTGAACAACAACTAGCAAAACTCTGAGTATGAAGGGTACCCCATACACTTGGCGAAAGAAGGAGGTTGGGAAAAACTAGCTAAGAAATCTATCTGTAGCTCCAAAAAAGATTTATTCTTATATATTTTTGTTTTAATTTTTAGATTATACATCCACATTCGGTTACGTTTTCCAGAGAGGTGGAGTACTCTAGAGCAGGGGTCTCCAAACTTTCCAGAATTAGGGCCATACTGTTTACTCCATTAAGTACCAAGGGCCAAAGCCGTTTTAATTTTTCTGCCATTATCTATAATTTCTAGACTAGTCGCCGAGTACGCGCTCTGAGCGAGCATATGCTTGCTAAATTCGCTGGTTCAATTACTATAATCTCTTTTAATAATTGGTACAAGTGAAATTTATCCACAACTACAAACTATTGTCAGTGAAAAATCACAATTACATAAATCTCATTAGTATTTTTTTACAAGTGGATAACCCGCGGTTTCATTCGCGTTAATTTAGCTTTTCCATTCCTCAGAGATTTTCAGGATAAAAATCATGTTTGATTCAGGATATATACATTCCAAAAATCGACATACATGCATTTGCGATACTCTTTACCCCAACATAACTAGCGAGGGTAATGTTCACTAGTTTATAATGCTAGTGGGATTCATTTCAATTATTTGTTAGTTGTTACGCTTATGCTAAGTTTTCTGCATATTATGCTTGTCATTAAACTTTACCTAGCAAGTAAACAAAACCGAGTTATTATCATTCTGTGTTTTTTTATCCAACTTATTACAGCAACAATAAGCTATTCGCTGTCGCGGGCCGGATTTGGCCCGCGAGCCGTAGTTTGGAGATCCCTGCTCTAGAGACTCATATAAACAGCTGGAACAGATTAGGTAGGAGATACAAAGAACATAGCGCCATCTATCGGAACTGGTACGAATAGAGAACAATCGATTGAATTTGCTTCTCTCGCAGACTCAATTTCAAAAGCGCCAAAATCCCTACAAAAGAAAAATACTCGAATATTTTTATAGTTAATAAATAAAACTTATTTATTTTATTTATTTTGTATGATTAAAATGTTTATTTTCCAATTATTAAAGCCTAAAAAATAGATTTTTTTCCTTACAGAATTTTCTTAAGGTTTTTCATGTCCTTGACAACTTTTAATTTTGGACATTTTCCCTGAAATGTGCAATTTTTTTTAAATTTCTTTCGGAAGCTTTATTAAATATAATATTTATTTACATAATAATTGAAAAATTATTATTAAGTAAAATTTAAAAAAAAATAATTCAGAAGGAAAATTATTGTAAAATAGTTCTAAAAGATCGTCTGGTGAAAGTATAGACAATTTTATTTCAAAGTTAAAATGAGAAAGAATAACTATAGAATTTTGAAATAACTATTGAAACTATAGAATTCCAAACGATTTTAAGAAAAGAAAATCGTTTGGAATTCTACAGGGTTTTTTTTATATATATATTTTACAAGATGTCTTTAGATCACCGAAGTTAAGCATCATTGGGCGCGGTCAGTACTTGGGTGGGTGACCACCTGGGAACACTGCGTGCCGTTGGCAAATTTGGGACCTGAATGGCCGAGCGTCTAGCGCTCTGGTGCCACAGGTTTCGGGTTCGAATCCCGGCGGTGCCATGGATGTTTGTAGTGGTTCGGAATCCACTTTAAACCGTAGGTCCCGGTCTTCTATGACTGTAAGAGCGTCACGGAGCAAAAGTCAGGCTTCTACCTACGGGTGCTCCATCATAACAGAAGCTGCTTCCTTCCCCTTCAATCATGAGTCCATATGGGCTTGGCCAGCCAAGTGGGATAAGAAACAACAACAACAACAAGATGTCTATTATGCATTTTGTTCTTACATTAAATTCTAAATTATATCAGTAACCTGTATGTCAGTCCAGACGATTATATTTTACTTTTTTTTTTTTTTTTTTTTTTCAGAATCAAATATTTTGAAATGTATCAGTACATTTAGTTCAATGGCTCGCCTGGAAAAATTTCAACTAACGTACACAATTTCAGATTAATTAATAAATATCTTCCTATTCCACTTCATGTTCTAAACATGCGAAATTAGTTAAAAACTACATAAGCATTCAATTTTTTTAATTTTAGATATTCAATTCCTGCTAGCACGGAAAAGTTTAAAGAATAGATAAGAATCATACGTTCAAAAATGTTCATGTGATCAATTAAAATATTCTGGTTATATAAAGGGATATAAATATGCAAAATTAAAATGATGTAAATTTTCACTTTTCAGTGTTTTTCTTTTCTTCTTGCTAGTGTGGAAAAGTAAAAAAAAAAATATAGAAGAAACATAAATGCAATTATTTAGAATAATCAATAAATGTAATTAGTTCGACATTTATGGCTTAAAATATTAAAACATTGTAATAAAATTAGTTTGAATAAAGACAAGTAATTCATTTTTTTAGCGATAGATACACAAAAAATATGCATTATATTTGCATATCATAAATGATTGGAGAATAGTTGAATTTGTGGCAGTTATTTCACACCTTATTGTAACTCTAGTACAATAAGGTGTGAAATAACTGCCTTGAGATAACTTTTCAAAAAGAGGTGTTTTTCCACTATGAAAAACAGATATGAGCTCTTTTCACTTATAGTATATTAATATAGATGTGGGCATGAAAAAAGAGGATAAGTTATCTTTGAAATAATAAATATCTTTAGTTGAGTTTTCATCTTGGGCAGAAATGTCATAGACTTTTCCCCCCCTAGATATATATTCTTCGTGAAAGTTAACTCCATTACACAAAACTTTACCTCATTGAGATATTAATAAATCTTTTTCATGTAATGTCTATATTCCTTTCAATAGTGTACATATATCATTTCTTATTCTTTAAACAACGATAAACTTCATAGAATTAAAATATTCTTCTATTGTGAAACCTGTTTTAAAACACATAACTAAAAATTATTACTTATCTGCCATTAAGTTAGCACATATATTATAATGACTGTTTTAATATTTAATTGAAATAATTACTAAAAAAGCTGTAAAAAATAATTTATCCTGGAATTGCTCATTATTATTGTTTTGGTGTCTTACAAATGCACTTTAAATCATTAGCATTATACATTCTAACCATATAAGTAGCTTGCTATAGATAAATTGAAGTAGGAACAATTAAACCAGTGTAAAGGCTTCAAACTGAATTCAATAATTAAATTAACGAAGAGTTCACGAAAAATAAAATTGACCTACACAGGGGTTCAATCAATAATTCAGTTCATCTTTAGATTTTAAGATATATACTAATGAATTGTAAACTATTCAGCAATCATATGATTAGTATGAAAAAAAGTTGTATGATTTGTACCAAAATTAAAGCAAACTCAATCATTTTGTATGGTATCGGAAAATCAATACAAAACTAATAAAATGATGTACACATAAATTTTAAGAAAATTAGAATAGAATGTTAAAAATTATTTTTTTATTTAATGTATATATAAAATAATTCTTTATTTAATGTATATTGATAAATAAATCCATTACAATTGAATACATTTCTGTAACGGATATATTGTTAATAGATTTTGTATTATTTATAGACTAACAATTTTTTTTTTACCATCTTGTAACTTTGAATGTTGTGGAATTCTTGGCAATGAATATTTTTAAAGGCAATATTGCACCAACTTTTAATGGATTTCTTATGATCATACGATTATTTGAAAAATATATATTACATTTTTCTCTGAATTTTGTTTTGGCATGCTATTTTTACATTAAATATTTAATTGAAATAAACATATTGTAATAAGAAGTAAAAAATGTATTTAAAAGTATCAAATGATAATGAGTTTTGACTGAGTAAGAAAAAAATACTTATATGTTTACTATAAGTTATTTCTATTTGTATAAGTAAAAGTAGTGTTTTTTAGTTTTAAAAATAAAACTAAAATTATATAACATCTAATTTTGGAAAAAATACAAAATATGGCACAAAAATACAATATCTCATGCATAAGAATGAACAATTACTTATAGGTAAATAATCGATAAATGTCATAAATATATTTTTAAATATTATTTATGTGAATTTTATTATTTCTAAATATACACAATGGTAAATGTTCTGTGATAAAAGAATGCATTTACGAAATTCAGTTCCAGTAATAAATGAGAAATAAGAATAATTGCTTTATTCTTCAAATTACATATTATAGCAAATTTGTAAATTTTTATTAAAAGTAAAATTATTTTAAAATTTGGATGTTTAACAAGATAATAAATAAAAAAAGGGGCAGATAAGCATATTAGTTGTAGAGAAAAATTCGAACAATTTTAGAAACGAAAAAAAATTAATGAAGTGGAAAAATTATGCAGGTGGTGAAGAAATTACAAATGTAAAAATATTAATAAAATTTGAAATTAATTTAAATTTTATTCATCTATTTGAAATAGTTATTGTAGAAACATTTAGCAATGTATGTTCACAAATTATTATCCAATTTGTTCCCATAAAAAACAATGGTGCCACGAAATAAAATGAATCGTTTAAAATTTTTTAAACTGATCGAATTATTACAATGATTTAAATCGCCCATCACTAATATGAAGACAATAAGAAACAATCAATGTTGTTGGTGTAATCAATAAATCCTATCACTTGCAAAAACGTCACGAAAGCAGAACCCATATCCCATTCTTTCATTATTACCCTCTCTAGTGGTGGACTAGCTCATTCATATTTTCTATATTTCCGGGGTTACTAAATCAAAATAAAGGAAATATCTCATTTATGGCACAGAAAAGCGAAATTTGCTTTTTTTTGTAGCAACGGGTGAATTGTGGAGCAGATTTTCCAACCCTGTCCTCGCTACACCACCAGTTTCAAGCTTTTGCCATAAAATGCAATTTGTAACCATGCTTCCTCCTACACATGGGCAACAACCACACCCTGTGGTGTTCAGCCGTACTTCCTTTCTGGGCCTACAGACTTTCACCCAGAGAGGAAGTATATTTCGTACATCTAGCGCATACTTGAGTATCAGGTTTCGGCTTAGAAGTGGAGTCCTTCCATGAATCTATAATTATACTATATGTCTTTAAATGCATTAAATATTGTATATGTGTAATGTTTAACCATGTGTAAATAAAGCTGTGAGTTCTTCAACCTGTGCCTCAAGTATTTCAACCCAATCGCACCTAGTTGCAGTTGAATTGTTCAATCTGCACACTACAACATGGGGTTCACCAATACTGACAATACTATAAATTGATATTATACAAAATTTAAAACAGCTTCAAGAGAGGAATCCACAATTTTTCTGCCTAAGAATGATATTTATTTAATAAAAAAATTCCTGTAATTTACACACACATTTAGTGAATGAAATTTACATTAAAAATGAAATACATTTTTTTTTTTGGAAAATTAATAAACATGACCTAATGATGAAAAACAATATGTAAACAGCACACACAAACATCAAATATACAATCACAATACAATATAATATCACAAAAAAAAAGTTATTCAATAATCTGTATAAAAGCTTTGCAGGATATTTTATATCAAATGTAAAGCTAAATTATAAATCATAGGAAAATTTTGATACTGATATTACCTAAACATTGTAAAAAGGGTTTTATTTATAATTTTCATTTTAAAAAATTCATAGCAAAATGCTAGTTCATTTTCATGTAAAAAAAGCTATGAAAATCCTGTGCCAAAAAACACATGACAGTTAAAGATCAATTTTAATTTCAATCTCTAAATAGGATTTTCATTAACTAGAAGAAAAATCCATATAAATATTTCAAAAATTTATAAACTTTTTTAGAACATTACTCAAATCAAATAAGCAGAGATGATGAAAATAAATATCTTAATTTACATCAAAATAAATTATGAGTATTTATGCAACTTGCAATAAATTTGGCTTAAAACAAACAAGCATACCCATATAGAAACAAATATCTTATAACAAACTTAGTTATTTTTAAATAAAATACTTCAGAACTATCCTTACAAAATATCAAAAAAAATTTGATCTTGAAATTTTAAATTTAAAAAAAACAAAACAATGAAGCATTATTATTAACAATATCCTGGTTTTTAACCAAATAATTATATTTTCCGACACAATCTTTTTGTAGGCAATTTTATAAATCTTTTTTAGCATAAAAGAGCAATAAAATAAGTTAAAAAAAGAGGAGAGATATTTATTTTTACTATTAATTTCAGAAAAAAATGGTATGAATATAAAAAATGATTAGTAACTTCAAGATCTAATATCGAGAACGGCTATGGCTTCCACCACTGCTTCGATCATATCCTCTGTCGTAACTAGAAGTACGTTCATGTCCTCTGTCATACGAACGACTTCCACTGCCATAACGATCATAGCTTGCACTACTGCTACTGCGTCCATATCTTTCATGGCCTCCTCCTCTGCTGCGGTCATATCTGTCGCGACTTCCACTATCACTACGATAACTGCCACTGCCACCACCATATCCACTGCCACCACGGCGTGATCCACCACCACGAGAGAAGCCACGTCCTCCTCCT